CAGGTCGACACCGCACAAACACGCAGGTCGACACCGCACAAACACGCAGGTCGACACCGCACAAACACGCAGGTCGACACAACACAAACATGCAGATCGACACAGAGGGGTATGGTGTCCAGCTTTTGTCCTGGTCTTCTGGATAATGAAATAATCCAAACCATTCTTTGACATGGAGGATGCCAGAAAGGAGAGAAGCTCACAAGGCAGGCGGGGCACACAGAAGGTGCTTCGTGAGACAGCAGATTTAACACAGGCATAAGGAAGGTAGAAGTCACATCGCTAACTCAGTGACACACATGGTCAGAGGTCATTTTGCAAGTCAAGGGCATGCAGTTTAGAGGAAGCGTACACTAGAATCCAATCCACTAGAATCCAGAAAGGTCAAAAGTGACAGGGTAGAAAAAGACAGACCAGGGAAACCACAACCAAAAGAAGGCCGCGGCAGGTCTGCTAAGATCAGACTAAGAAGATTTTAAGGCAAAAGCTTAGCCAAAAGTAGACATTTCAAAATATGAAATAGGTCAATTTCCCGGGAAGACAACAATTCTAAATGTCTATCCACCCAATAGCATAGCTTCAAAAATGTGTACAGCAAAAATGAACAGAGCCACAAGGACCTCTGTGCTGATCCACAGTTCTACTGGGAGGTAACTGAAGGAACAACAGAGCAAAATAAGTCCATGAGGTGATGGCCACACACTGAGCAAGCTTGCCCCAAAGGATGCAGAGGACGGTACACCCCAAGACGGCAGGAGGTTTTCCTTTGCACGTGAAATGATTATGAAAGCTGACTGTAGCCGTGTGCGTGTCTCTCACAGGTCTCGACAAGTTTTTAAAAAATGGCCATCGGTCAGTTTTTTTCTGAGTACAATTTTTTCACATTTGTGCCCAAAGAGTCCAGAATTATTTTTTTCTGGCACACTGTCAGAAACCTACACCAAAAAGATAATTAGAAGATTCCCACATGTTTGGAAAGAAGCAAATATATTTCTAAATAACCCACAAGTCAAAGATAACATGTAATAGAAATATTTTGAAGTGAACAGTTATGAAAATCTTATAAATCAAACCTTGAGGGAAGCAGCTACAGCCATGACGAGAAGAAATAAGAGGCTTGAATAGTAGTAGGACATACATATATATATATATGGGCATCCTTCCATACACACACAGGTACATAGTTATTTATCAGAAAGTTGGATCTGGCACTAACTGTCAGCAAAACCTTCCCACGAAGACAACAGACAACCCCGAGACCCAGGAGGCCTCCTTTGCAAAGTTTAGCAATAACTAAAGGAAGAAATGACTCTAATTTTATACATATTATTTCAAAAAATAGAAAAGGGATATTTCTCAAGTCATTTTCTCAGGCTGGGATATGCACTTGGAAAAGCTGTTCTTGTTTTATCCTTCATCCCACAAGACACGCGGGTCCTTTAGGTTTTCTGCTCTCTGAGTCTGTCTCCTAACCCGGGTCCTGATGCTCTCCCTTTTTCTCCTTCTCTCCCTCCTCTCCTGCCTTCCTTCCCCACTCTCTGTCCTTTTCCCCTCACTTCCCTTTTTCCTCCTTCTCTGTTTCTGTCCCTCCTTCCCTTCCTTCTTCCTCTTTCCCTCCACTTTCCTCCCTTCTTGTCTCTTTCCCTCCTGCCTCTTTTTCTCCCTTCGTCCTTCCATCCTTCCCTCCCTCTCTCTTACCTCCTTCCCTCCCCTCTTTTCCTCTCCATTCCACAAATACTTAAGAAGCCTTGTTACCCTGTCTTAAGTTCTGTGCACCTGCTGACCCCTGCCCCTGGGAAGCTCTTTTGAGCTAGAGGGACAACAGTGTCTGCATTGTCCCCAGAGGTTCCCGTCCCTCTGATGCCCCGCTCCCACACCACAGTGAGGGAAGCAGCCCAGACTGGGCCCCTACCTCAGAGGCGGGGGTCTTGGCATTACAGGGCTCACAGAAGAACCGATTGTCTTCATCATCAAATTTCTGGATTAGAGAGAAACTCAGCACCTCTGTGTCCTATAGAAGAAGAAATGAAGAGGCTGAGTCTCTGGGGAATCTGCCATAACACAGGTGGACGCCCAGGTCCCCAGACCCTTTCCTCCCTCTTCTTTTCCACTGCCTGTGTCTTGCTCTAGGGTGGATTTCAGGCTACAGCCGAGGCAGGGACTTGGCAGGACCTGCCTTCCTCCCAGGCTGGTGGATGCTGGGAGGGCAGGGACACTGGGCTTGGCTCAGTGGGGGCCTCCCCAGTCCTCTCTGGAGCCCCCTCCCCAGCGATGGGTGGATCCCGGGACCCTGCCCTGCCCATCAAATGCCTGCAGCTGCATGCAGGCCTGTGCAGATCCAGAATCCAAAGTGTGGGGCTGGAACAAGGATGCCTCTGCTGTGCTGAAGGTGAGACCTGCGGCTGTGTCTGAGGTTCAGTCACCCACACCCCGAGCCACCTCCCACTGGCATTTGGTCAGAGTTTCAAAGACTGTTCCAGGGTTCTGGGACTGAGAAGAAACCTGCTCAGCACGGGGAAGGGAGGGCCTCAGCCCAGGCAGGGCCTGGGAGGTGGGGTCACCAGATCCCTGTGGGCGGCAAGCCACCCAGGTGCCGAGGCAAGAGATCGAGGGCACGAGCTGTTCCAGTGTAATAAAATATATAAAATAAGAATAGTAATACTAGATATAGATAATAGATATGATTATATGTGAATATCATTAATCATAAGTCTGCAGCAATTACTCTTTACTCCAATATTATAATAATCTTTGCTCACAGTTATAACCTAGGAAAAACCAGGCCATACAGAGATAGGAGCTGAGGGAACATAGTGAGAAATAACCAGAAGACAGGAGTGTGAGCCTTCTGTTATGACTGGGCAGGGCCACCAGAGTGCTCCTTGGTCTAGCGGTAACGCCAGCGTCTCGGAATGCCAAGTGGACCGTGGTCTATGGTAGCATCAGTGTCAAGGGAAAATACCCACTGCTTAGCAGACTGAGAAAGGGAGTCTCCCTTTCCCTGGAGGAGTTCAGAGAAGACTACTTCTCCACCTCTTGTGGAGGGTCTGACATCAGTCAGACCTGCCCACAGTTATCCGGAGGCCTAACCATCTCCCTGTGATGCTGTGCTTCAGTGGTCACGCTCCTAGACCGCCTTCATGTTCCATCCTGTACACCCAGCTCTGCCGTTGAGATAACAGTAGCAAATTAGTGAAAGTACTAAGAGTCTCTGATATGCAGAAATAATGGCGTAAGCTGTCTCTCTCTCTCCTCTCTTTCTCTCTGCCTCGGCTGCCAGGCAGGGAAGGGCCCCCTGTCCATTGGAGATGGCTCACACTCCTTACCCTGCCCCACCCCCACCCCACACCCCACATAGAGGCCATTTTCCTCTGTGACTCTTGGCTCCCCGACACTTGCCAGCTCCTTTGCCTGGCCATTGTTACCAGAGGGCAGGGGCCAGTGGCCCTCAACATCTAGATGAGCCCCATGAACCCACTCACCAGCCTAGGTATCAGTCACAACCAGACAATCAGGGCTGGCATTGCCATGCGAGAGGCCAAGATCTGGGCATCTCTACATCAATGTGCCTGGAACAGAGCCTGGCACATACAGGGGCTCCAGACAAGTGGGTGGGCCAAAGAATGAATGAATGATGGGCTCTTAGCCCTGGCGTTTCAGGAACACTACCTTGCAGGGTGACCTTGGGACCACAGTACCTGGGAAACTCCACTAGACGGATTGGCTGGCTTGCCAGGTTTCTGCCCGGCCCCCTCCAAGCCACAGAGCTGGGTGTGGGAAGCCAGGGGCAGGATCAGCATCCTGCCTCCGGATGGGATGTGCTCCTTGTGGCCGCACACCAAGCACTGGATGATTTTCTCCACCTCACTCTGGAACACCTGTGTGAGAGGATGGGGCAAGTTGGGCGGGACCACAGGCCTGGACAGGCCCTGCCAGTCAGGAGTGCTGTCCTGGAAACGCCCTCAGGCACCTGGCCCCGTTTTCAGGGTAGCAGGCCACACAAAACCTTCCCTATCCTCAGGCCCCCTTGACACTGCCCATCTGTGCTGTCACAAGCTTTGGTCCTTCTGTCTTATGAACACACTGCTTGGTCCAATCACAAGGAGCCTTGAGTTAAATGGGAACATACCACAGGAGTCCCAAGGAAGGGGTCAAAGCCTGGGCACTGCCCGTGTGCCAAGGCACAGGACTTCTGTCCCATCAGGGAGCCTAGAGGTCACATTGTCCCCAGCCCAGAGCAGGGGCTTGGGAAATGCAGCCTGGAGGCAAGGACTGGGTAAGGAGTGGGCAGGGAGAGCCCTGCCTGGGTTTGCCCCCATGGGGATGGGCTAAGGTGGCTGCCTCAGGACGGGCTTCAGGGGCACGGCCCTGGGCTTGGCCATGGTTGGCGAGGAGGGCTGCTGATCCAGCTATGGTTGGTGCACGGGTTTCTGATCAGGGAGGCGATGCTACCTCCAGGGAATACACCCTGTTTGTCCCTATGGGGCCTGTTCTCTGCAGCTGCCGCCTGTGTGCCTGGTCCTCAGTGTGGTGGCCTGGGGCAAGTTTTGTCCTCCCTGTGGCCACTAGAAAAATATGGTGATGGTGGCACCTGCCTGCAGTGCTAGGATCCAGTGAGCCCAGGGCCCAGGGCCTGAGCAGCACCAGCCCCACTGAGTAAGCCTTGCGATGGGAGAGGCCCTGCTCCTGCTGATTTAATACCAACATGCTCATGGCCTCAGCAGGGAGGGCGAGGGGCCTGAGTGAATGCTCCTGAGAGCGTCTCAGGTCTCTCCTGCCTGTCACTCTGCACTCCAAGGCAGACACCTGTGGCCCTGGTGCCCTCTTGGCTGTGATCTGGCCAGTGGCCCTCCGAATCTCTCCCTACCCTGCCCACTGCATCCCCTGGCAGGTGTCCAGCTGCGCCCTCCCTCCCCACTGCCTACCTCCTGCAATTCATCCCGGCCCAGGTGCTGGAGCAGAAGCAGAAACACCTCAGCCACGTCCTGCTGGACGGAGCCTGCAGAGCACAGACAGAGCCAGGTCAGCGCAGCTGCTTCCCACCACCCCAGAGCCTTCTGTGGCCCAGCCCCTCCCCTCACAGCTACCTCCTCTGCTGGCTGTACCCTGGAACCCACCCCGGACCCCATGTCCTCTCCTTTTTTGGTCCTGGTTCTATCACACGCATCTTTGCAAGCATCTGCCAGGCTGCCTGGCCGGGGGCCTATTAAGAGCAAGTGCCTCTGCTGGGATTCACCAAGCTGTCTCCTGGTCCTCCCCTCCTTCTCTGGCCCTCCCCTCCTGCTCTGACCCTCCCCTCTTCTCTGGTCCTCCCCTCCTGCTCTGACCCTCCCCTCCTGCTCTGGCC